TTTCAGTGAATAGCTCCTCGATTGTCATGTTCCCCTGATACTTCTTCAAAAATTTCGAATTTTTCACTTTCAGTGAAAATTTCAGTGAATAGCTCTTCGATTGTCATGTTCCCCTGATACTTTTTCATAAATTTCGAATTTTTCACATTCAGTGAAAATTTCAGTGAATAGCTCCTCGATTGTCATGTTCCCCTGATACTTTTTCAAAAATTTCGAATCTTTCACATTCAGTGAAAATTTCAGTGAATAGCTCCTCGATTGTCATGTTCCCCTGATACTTTTTCAAAAAATTTCGAATTTTTCAATTTCTATACTTATACGTTTTTACTCGAAACTTTACTACTCGATTTTTTTTCACCATTTGCCGACATATTGGGGATCCATATTACCAACTGTTGGCAATTCAGGGACCTGTATTACCGACAGCGAGTATTTCACCAAGGCGGGAAAATTCCAAAATTTAAAATTTGAAATTTAAAATTTTTCGAAATTTTTGAAAAAGTATCAGGGGAACATGAACGGCGAGGGGCTATTCAGCTTTTAAACAATATTTCGATTGATTAGTCATTTACAAAAGAAAAAATAGGAATTATTTAGATAAAAAAAAAAAATGAATGGCGCTAGGATCGAACCCTAGCTGTCCGCGTGGCAGGCAAGCACGTTACCGATTAGCCAACGCGCCTATTTTAAAAATATAAATTAATTACTAGTATATCTTCAATACATTGAAATTTTTTTTCATTTGAAATTCCACAAGATGAGGCTTCCCCCTTCCGCCCGTTCTACAGTCGGCTAAATTTTAGTTAAATAAATAAAAAACAAAAAGCATTCATGCCGCAGAACATAAAATTCAGCCCGTCGACTTGATAGACACCCCATCATTTCATGTGGCACCCTCTCTCTCTTGGGGTGCAGTACTACGATGCCGCTGGGGTCACTCAAACCCCCAGAACTGAGCCTCTACTTTAGTCAATCCTCATTGGGTACCACTGCTTCTATTGAGTGACTTGTGATTTCTGTCTGTCAAAAAATCTCAATAAAAAATGGTACGTACAATCAAAAGTACAAAATACCGAACAATTCGTGAATTATAAAACAATCAATGAATTCTTTTAAATAAAAATTCCCCAGCACTCCACCATTTCACCCGCAACTCCATTTTTATAACATAACTCGTCAACACTCTAGAGGTTAACCGACACTCATGTACTAAACAATTTGATTAATTATGAAGAAAGAATAATTAAAAAACCTGAAGAGCTCTCGGTTAATTCTCGAGTTAATAATACAGCGGCAATTCTGATCGAATATCTCGAAATCTACGGGTAATCATGATAGTTTCATAAGGACCTTTTTTGAAGAGGGGAAAAAGAGCTACAAAAAAGGTCCCACAGAGATTTCGCTAGCTCCAAGAGATTTCGAGATATCCCTCTAGAAATCTATCGAGTACAAAAATAAATGAAATAATTATCCAAAAATTCAGGGGCAGAATCAGTCGGGTGCAGGTGGCACAGGTGGTGATAAGAAGGATGATAAGGACAAGAAGAAGAAGTACGAGCCCCCAATTCCAACTCGCGTGGGTAAGAAAAAGCGCAGGACAAAGGGTCCAGATGTTGCCCTGAAGCTGCCACAAGTGACACCACACACTAGATGTCGATTGAAGCTCTTGAAATTAGAGAGAATAAAAGATTATCTGCTGATGGAGGAGGAGTTCATCAGGAATCAGGAGAGATTGAAGCCCCAGGAGGAGAAGAACGAGGAGGAGAGGTCGAAGGTGGACGATCTCAGGGGCACTCCCATGTCTGTTGGAACACTCGAGGAAATAATTGATGACAATCACGCAATAGTTTCCACCTCTGTGGGATCAGAGCATTACGTATCCATTCTATCTTTCGTTGATAAGGATCAACTGGAGCCAGGCTGCTCTGTTCTCCTTAATCACAAGGTTCATGCGGTCGTTGGAGTCCTTGGAGACGACACCGACCCCATGGTAACTGTCATGAAACTGGAGAAAGCACCTCAGGAGACTTACGCTGATATTGGAGGTAAATTATCACATTATTCATCTCATATCAATTATTATTATCAATTTTATCCCGAAATCCATAAATAAATGAAACGATAACAACGAAATCATTTAATTTCATCCAAATTTGGTTTTAAAAATCGAATAATTCATTCCTAATTTTCCCTCCAGGTCTCGACACTCAGATTCAAGAGATCAAAGAATCTGTGGAGCTTCCCCTGACCCATCCAGAGTACTACGAGGAGATGGGCATCAAACCTCCAAAGGGGGTGATCCTCTACGGTCCCCCGGGCACTGGGAAAACACTCCTTGCAAAGGCTGTGGCTAATCAGACCTCGGCGACGTTCCTCCGGGTCGTTGGCTCCGAGCTCATCCAGAAATACCTCGGGGATGGCCCCAAACTCGTGAGGGAGTTGTTCAGAGTTGCTGAGGAGCACGCACCATCTATTGTTTTCATCGATGAAATCGATGCTGTTGGCACCAAACGATATGACAGCAATTCAGGGGGTGAGAGGGAGATCCAGAGGACGATGTTGGAGCTTTTGAATCAACTCGATGGTGAGACACCTATTTTTTATTAATTATCAATCAAATACTCTTAATTAACATTCTTAAAAAATTGTAAATCTCAATAATTCGAATAATAATAATCATTTCATAATAATAATTATCGTTATATTGATTAACTATCAATTAATATTAATAGTAATAATTACTGTAATGATAATTATTATAATTATTATATTAATAATCGAAATTAATTTCCTGTAATTCAGAGAATGATTGTTAATCGTTAGTGAATTGTTAATTTGTTGAAAAAATTTGAAAAAAAAATATAATTCTCGTAATTCAGGTTTCGATAGTCGTGGAGACGTGAAGGTGGTGATGGCAACGAACAGAATCGAGACCCTGGACCCAGCCCTGATCCGTCCAGGTCGTATAGATCGTAAAATAGAGTTTCCCCTGCCCGACGAGAAGACAAAACGCCGAATCTTCAGCATCCATACGAGTCGAATGACCCTAGCACCAGACGTGAACCTTGGAGAGCTCATAATGTCCAAGGATGATCTCTCAGGGGCTGATATCAAGGCTATTTGCACAGAGGCAGGTCTCATGGCCCTCAGGGAACGTCGCATGAAGGTGACGAGTGATGATTTCAAGAAATCCAAGGAGAGTGTTCTCTACAGGAAGAAGGAGGGATCACCCGAGGGCCTCTACTTGTAAAATCCTAGGTCAAACAATTATCGAGACTTTTTTGATTTTTTTTTTTTCTCTATTAATCATTCACGTGTATTCGTACGTTTAATAAAAGGAATTAATTATTCTAATGAATTATTCTGGGAGTTTTTAGGCGTCAGTGAGAGATTTATTGGGATTAAGTGTCAAGTTAATTCTGGTTCCTCGATTTTTATGTTTTTTTCTCGGAGGAGAGGTGAGAAATTCTCTTTTAATTTGTGAATTATTTTAGTTATGTGGTCTCTGTGGGCTCTGATTACTTCTTGGGACTCCAGCAGATTTATTTCACCGGAGGATTCTAGGTGGCAGATGTGGCATTCTCCTCGGCGGGTCGCCTCCAGGATCTTTTGGATGTCTGGGGGGATTTTTTCGGGGTTGAGGGCTGCGAGCGCTTTGTATTTTCCCAGGAGGAACGAAATCTTGAAGCCATCTGAATATCCTACGTCGAAATCTGATTGCAGAACCTCTTGGGAGCCCTCGTCCACTCCTTCTCGATATCCTGCCTGATAAGATTATCAATTCACGTCAATTTCCAATGGGAGAGGGAGAAATAACTTTTCAATGATTCCATTATTTTTTCTAATTAATTTGATTGAGAAAAATTAAACACTTTCTTTATTCTCTGAATAATTCTTAATTTCTCAAAATCGTATCATTTAGTCTGAAATTATCAAGAATTTTATAATTCAATAATCTAATCAATTTATTTCAATAAATAATATTGATTAATAATATTAATTTATCAAATTCATTTGTAGTCACTAGCTATGAACGACTCAATGATAAAAATAAAAAACGAAAATAATTTGGGACAATAATTTCACTGGAGTAAATGAATATCTAGTAGAAATAATTTTTGTAATGATTTTTTTTTTTACTTTGGACGCCGATTCCATGACTCGACTCCACGTCCTCGAGGCGAGATCCAGGGTCTCGTCATTCTCACAGTCTTCCATGGTTTCGATCGGGAATGTTATCCAGGGGAGTAAAGAGTTCTTGAAGAAGAGATGATGGAACTGTCTGCGATGATTTGAGGTTAAGTCAACTCCATGTGTCGTGCAGGGAACAATTATTTTTACTGAACTTTATTCCAGAGCAGAACGATATTCTGGAGGGATCATGGAGTCTGAGGACGTCGATGATCCACAACCTGGGACTTCTATCAGTAGAAATGCAGATTCAATCGAGCAGAAGTGAGAATTTTTGGTTTTACTGATTTATCAACCGTTCCAACCTCTACACTCAGCCTTTCCCTCGTTTACCACAAATATCTCAGATTCCACTGGAGCTACCGAAATTTTCACATAAACCTCTTTTGTAGATTAAAATACGAGCTACAAAAAATGTTCCACGAAAATTTCTGTATCTCCATTAGATCCCAAGTTATTCCCGAAAAACTTGAGTGTCAATTAAATCGAATTATTCCTTCATTCATTCGTTATTACTCAACAATTAATTGACGATAATTAATGACCATCGTTAATAATCATTGCGATTGAATAAATGATAATTCGATTATTAATAACTATTTAATATCTACGATTAATGGTAATTAATTAATTTTATCCCAAATTAGAAATCGACCAATGAAAATTAAAAAAAAAATTCTCAATTCTGTTTGTTGATTAAAAAAAATTTGTTTAAGGCTGAATTTAAAGCTGAAGAATATGTTTAAAAATACTTTAAAGGATGAATTCCCCAGGATAATAGACCTGGCGCAGGTGACCCCCAACGGTTTGACAGACGCCGACATCTCCAGGGAGTATCCAAACCTGGAGCCAGCGCAGAAGGCCCTGGCCTTGAATAAACTATTGAAACAAGGTCAGATAGTGGTCCTGAAGAAGGGCACGAGTTTGCTGTACCGTTTGAAGGCCTCGACGACGAAGGGTGCGGACAATGAGGAGAGAATCGTCTACTCGATAATCGAAGCAGCTGGCAACAAGGGAATCTGGAGCAGAGACGTCCGGTGGAAGGCGAATCTCCCAGTCACCCAGACAGGAAAGATAATTAAAAGTCTCGAAAGCAAGAAACTCATCAAACCTGTCAAGTCCGTGGCAGCTGGACGCAAGGTTGTCTACATGCTCTACAATTTGGAGCCTGACAGATCTGTTACTGGAGGTGCCTGGTACCAGGATCAGGATTTCGAGGCGGAATTCGTCGATGTCCTCAATCAGCAGTGCTATAGATTTCTCGAGCTCAAGAGGGAGGAGATGAAAACCGTTAGAGGAGGCCCCATCATCGCCAGGAACGTCACCTTCGCGTCGTCCAAGGAGGTCTGGCAGTTTATCTCCGATCTTGGCATCTCCAAGGTGAATTTATCTGTTGAGGATCTCGAGATGATTCTCAATACTCTCGTTTATGATGGAAAGGTTGAACGAACTGTGTCTGCTGATGGTGATACCATTTATCGCGCTATCACATCCATCGTCACCACCCCGGGACTCATCCTCACACCCTGTGGAATGTGTCCTGTAAGTACGGAAATTCGTAGTATCTCCGTTGATATGAGGTTTAGGAGAAAATGGAAAGAAACTTTTTTGGTGGGAATTTCATTGGGCACGTAAAATTTTTTATCACTTTTTCTCATAATGTGAATGGCTTCGGAGATAATGCCAATAATTTGAAGGTCGATTCCCATTTTTTTTTGGTAGAGGAAATTTCAATGTTCCGGGGAATAGCGGATTAGGGGGTTGATGAGTGGATTTAGAGGAAAATGACAGAGAACTTTTTTGTAGGGAATTTAATTATCTAGAAAAAGTTTTTATAACATTTTTTTGTAAATCCAGTCATTACCAGGGAAAATCGCATATTTATGGAACTCGTGATCCGTCTTATTTGATTTTCTTCAATCTTTTCATCCCTGACTCTCATTACCGCTTGATTAATTATGTTCCAGGTGCGGAAAAACTGCTGTGACCTTGGAGACGTCACCCCCTTGAAGTGTCAGTACCTGACAGACTGGCTAGACGCATCCCAATACAAAAAAATCGAATAAACATTTACATTTTTGCAATTCAAAGAAATTCCGCAATGAATCTCGCACTTAAAAATCTGCAACCCTTAAAATTCCTGAAATAAACAATTAGTCCAAAAAATTATCCCTCAAAAAACGCGGGAAATCGATTCCCGCTAAAATCGATCCAAAAAGCGCCTCCACCTTCCCGCCAAAAATTTACCACTCATACCAACCCCTCCCCCTCCCCCGCGCCCCCTCAAAATTTCCGAAAATCTATTCAAAACTCCCCCAAAAACTCCCCCACCCCCGTCCGCCCAAAAAAATCGCGAATCCCTCAAAAAATCGCCGAAACCCTCCAAAAACCGTTAAAAAATTCAAAAAATCAAAACCCCCCATCTCTCATCTCCCCAAAATATCTCGAGATCCACAAAAAATTTGAAAAAAATATGTAACACTTTTTTATCGAGCAGAAAGAGACGAAGAAAAAAGGTCCTATAAAAAACCGATGCATCTGCCTCGAATTCCGAGATATTCCCGAAAAACCGGATAGAAAAAAGTGAAGCGTTTGAATTTCGCTCCTGATTATTTCAAATGCTGAAGTTTCCGGCCCTGCTCTCGATTTCCGGCTGGAGTATCCAGTGCCATGAAGACAGTCTCTTCATTCAGTGCGCCGTTATTTTGAGGCCAGGTGGTTTGACCGATTGAAAAGAAAAAAAAAAAACCGAACGATTTCTCCCGATCAGCATCACCCCCAGAAGCCCAAAAAATCGACGATCAATCACAACTAATAGTAAAAAAATTCCAATCCCTAGGACACACCTCTAAAAACAGTTGTCATGTGGAGTTCAAGGATTAATAACCTGTGAGAATCCTTTGATAAAAACAAAAGTACAAGATTTGTGGGAAATGCCAGTGGGTGAGTTAAACCTGATACCCAGTGGACTATAACGATTTAATAAAAAAAAAACATTTTAATTGGAGATAGGGGCAGAACGAAATCGAGTTATTGTGATGTAAATTGTTGTGGCAAGGCTTTTGTTGGGTGAATCAATTATTTTTATTTTCACCACTCGCTTGGACGAAAGCGTTGGCGTCGTCACGCAATTGCTCGAAACCGACATCAGGTTGTTTGGTAATTAGTCCCTTCCGAGGATTAATTATCGATTGATCATGCCGTACTTGAGGAAAAAGCCATTCCAGCGTCTTCATGTGTCCTCGGACTACAGGGATGATGATGAGGTTTTTCATTGTGAAGTTACTAATGAAGTTTTCAAGGATTATAATGAGTACTGCGAGAGAATTATACTGTGCAACTCCACCATTTGGTCGTGCAGTATCACGGGGAAGACTAATATGACGTATGAGGAGGCACTCGCCTGTGAGGAGAATGCCAAAGCCAGTCTCAAGGAGTTTCCCATGGAGGTAATTTATTTGGGTCTGCGATTTGCACGGGCATTTCACGGTCGAGACAATCTTTCAGGCAGTATTCTCGTTTTTATGTTAATTGTTTGTTTTTTTTTTGGGTTATTATCCGTGGGGTTGAACGATTAATTGAAGGACGTGAATTTTCGCCGAGAGGGTGTAGAACATTATTGAGAATTCCGTACGCAATTGTTATTTCGTTTTTCTCTTGAATTACGATGTTTTTGGGGGAGAAATTTTGGAGATGTATTCTGCTGATTGGAGAAGGCCTGAAGAGTACTTTGGGGTTTTAGTTGTTTGACAGAATAAGAAATTCAAATTGATGAAGAATTTTTCTTTTATTATTTCAGAATATTCTGGAATTTAAATGGAATAACGAGATTTCAGTTAAAAATTTTTTTAGAGGCCTTTTTCAATTAGAAAAAACCCAAAAAGGTTAAAAATAGGAATAACAATATTTTAGTTGTGACCAGAATAAAATGATTGGCCCCCAAATTTTGAGTTGTAATCAACTGTTTTAATACACAATTTTTAATCAAATAAAAATCACAAAAATAAATTTTCAGTGAATCGACAAACCCCAGTAATCGATGAATATCTTTCAAACGAGAAGAGATAGCAAAATTTTTATATGAATCTTTTCTCTAGAGCACGCATCGCTCTCCAAAAAAGCTTCTCATGAAAATTCCTCTATCTCTCTTCAATCGCGAGATATCCACCGACAATATCCCCAGGGGAAGTCAACTCACAACAAAAATTCAATAGAAATGACAAGCCAATTATAAATAAATAATATACTTAAACAATAATTGCCATTGGCAATTACGTAATGAAAATATTATTAAATACGATATTAATTAGTAATAATTATTATTAAAAGAATAGACTGGAGTATGCGATAAAAATTCTGCTTTGTTTTTAGTTGAGGATCCCGATTCTGTACCTCGCCAGCAGAACCACCAGGAGTTCCTTCAACGAGATGATGGAGGATGTATATCAATACGCGAGAGACAGATATTTCATCGGTGAAATGGTGGAGGCGAGTTTCACAGAGGATTCCTGGTGCGAGTGTCACGTACTGCAGGTGATCGAGCCAACAGACGATCAAATAAAATTATATCTGAAAGAGAATCCCCAGGAGAATCCCCAGGACCGTCAGTTCCACCCCCCAGCAAAGCTCTTTCGCTATGAGATTGAGCAACTGGACTGTGGAGACAATGATATAAGCCAATTGATGATCGTGGAGGCGTCGCAGGTGCGGAGGAAGAAACAGCTATACAGCAGAGAGAGAAACAAAATTTTCCTGAGGATGCTGTGCCACCAGGCGCCCAGTGGCACATGGATAGTCAAAGACGAGATTCAACAGAAGTACGGAATACCAAAAGTTCGATTTGACTCGATCTTCGCTGGACCCATTCCGGATTTTTCGAATTTACCGAAACGCCCGATTGTTATGAAGCAGAAGCAGGGAACTCTCGACAAATTTTTAACTTCAAATCCATCGAAATCGAGTCAGGATGCCTTCAAGCAGACGAAACCAGTGGACAAGAACAGCTATGTGAGGAAAACGGGCCCCAAGGGACCGAGAATGAATGGAAAGTACAAAGAGAATCAGAAGGCGAGGGCTGAGGAGGAGAAAGCCAAGAAGAAGGAGGAACGTCTCCAGAAGAGGGAGAAGAAGAAGGAGGAGAGGCTGAAGCTTGCTGCCTTTTCGGCGTACCTCAGGGACTGGCACAAACCCAGGGAAGATTTGGAGTGCGAGGATCTCAGGCCAATACCAGAGGGTACACCAGTTAGCTGCAGTATCCCGGACGACAGCTTCGGTGATTTCGTTATGATCCTTGAATTCCTGCATTTTTTCCACGAGGAATTGGATGTGTCGTCGTATTTTCCCAGTGGACTGACCTTCGAGATGCTGGAGAAGGCACTCCTGGCCAAGGAGACGTCGGGTCTGTGGTCGGATCTTCTCCAGCTGTTCTTGGCGAATATTTTTAAGCATCAGGCAGAGGAGGAGGATGAGATCCACGAGGCGAACAACACTGAGACACTTCCAGAGGCATCGATGGATCATGGAGTGTCCTCCATGGCAGAGGCTGTCAAGCTTGCAACCCTCGCCTCCACCTGGTCCCAGACACATCAGGGCTGTCAACTATCAGAGGTACCACTTGATCACGTCACTGTCTCAGAAATTCTCAGGCAACATCTGCTGTCATCTGGGGGTAGAATCAGCGAGGTCGCCTCCAAGTGGAGATACTCACAGAGAGGTGGATACACCAATCACGATGATCCTGCTCTCTCCCTCAGGATCATGGAGGCAAGGATTCTCAGGACTCTGGGTCATCGGTCTGTCGGTGAATTCGAGATGAAGGATAAGCTCATTGTGGCGACTTGTTTGATCAATCAGCTGTTGACTTTTGCGTCTATCAGGGACGTAATCGAGGAGAGGTATGAGAAATTGCATCAGGCGAGGAGAGAACTCAAGTCATTTATTGTAGCTGAGCAGAGGAAGGAGAAGGAGGAGAGGGAGAAGATGAAGGAGGAGAGGGAAAAGATGAAGGAGGAGAGTGTCAAGCTTGTTGATGAGATCGTCGATGAGAGGCCCAAGAAGACCAGGGGCAGCAGGGAGGAGGAGAAGAAGAGGGAGGAGTATGAGGGCAGGCTTGGGGAGTTGAGGCAGGCTGCCAAGGATGATCAGATGATGCTCCTCTTGGGGATGGACAGGGCCTTCAGAAGGTACTGGAGACTCCTCTCTGTACCTGGGATATTCGTCGAGGATAATGAGGTGAATCCTGGTGTTTGCATCGAGGGCGGCACCAATTATATGCCTGAGCTCCAGGATAAAGCCACTGCCGAGGTTTATCTGAGGAGAAAATTCGAGGATGAGTTCAGCGATAATAAAGAGAACGACTTTAACAAGTCGAAGAAGAAAAAAACCGTGAGTTTTACTGATAAAAAGGACAAGAATGGATTGAAGTCTCCGAGAAAGGAGTCGGATGTCAGGAAATCCCTGATGGCATGTACGGGGGACAAAGAGTGCCCTGTTCATCAGTCTAAGAGCCCTGGGAAATGGAGATTTCTGGGTCGCCAGGAGGACATCGAGGCCCTCATAAATGGTCTATCAATTCGAGGTATAAGAGAAGGAGAGCTCAGGAATAATCTTATCCAGGAGAGTGAGAGTATCTCGTCAGCCCTGATTAATTGTCCCAAACACAAGCTCAATCCTGAAGTGTATCCACCCTCTAACAACAACAACTCCACAACGAAATCTCGAAAATCCAAGCAGGAAAATACAAATCTCAATTTTCCACCGGACGTTCCCATCGACGAGGTCTTGGAGCTCACCCTGAGGGATTACGTTCTGGATCTTGAGGACAAACTGAAGGCAGGATGTCTGGGGATCCTGAAGGTAAAAGACAGGGACTCCTGGAGGAAGGAGGTGGGTACCAGTGGAATTGAGGAGCCAGTGAACACGACAATCGATAAAATAAAGAATGAGAGTAGAAACAGTCGTCCGGGTACACCAGACTCCGAGGTGGGGACTGGAAAGACCTACAGGGATCCTGGCAAGTACCTGGGACCTCCTGGAGACGACGAGACACTTCCTGATGGCCGACAGCAGGCCAACATCAAGCAGATGGCGTGGGCTATACTCCAGCTGTTTCATGCTGTTGAGACGAAGTACTTGAAGAGACCACTGGGTAATGACGAGAAGGACAAGAAATACTCGTGCGAAGAAGTCAGGGAGAAGTGGGAGCAGTCACTTCTGGCCTCCACAAGCTGGTCCCAATTGTTTCTACATCTGAATACTCTAGAGGGAAGTGTCGCCTGGGGTAGAAGTGCTCTCAATGCTCGATGCAGAATTTGCAGAAAGTGCAAGGATGCGGAGCACATGTTACTCTGCGATGGGTGCAATAAGGGACAGCATCTGTACTGTCTCAAACCTAAACTCACTAGTGTCCCTGATGGCGACTGGTTTTGTGGCACGTGCAGGCCCAAAGAGGTCAAGCCCAAGCCCAAGGCCAGGAAGAGGAAGAAGTTCGAGGAGGAGGACGAAGAGGAGATCATCAAGGAGGAGGATGTCGCTGAGGAGGAGGAGAAGGAAGAGGACACCGCTGACAACAGCTACGTCAAGATCAAGAAAATGGAGACGTGCAGTCAGTGCAACAGCACTGGTAGCCTCTTCGGGTGTGATATATGTAATAAATTATTCCACCTCGACTGTGTTGAACCACCAATGTCCAGGGCACCCAGGGGACGATGGCTGTGTCACGAGTGCAAGAATCTCAAAAAGAATGCCACGAGATTTGGTAGGTTTCACCTTAATTTCAATTGTTTTATTATTATTATTATTATATTATTAGTGGATATTATTGAATATCATTGGATAGGAAGACTAGTTTTGCTCTCCAGTATTTATTTATTTTTATCATTTGTATTTATTTTAATTGTGCACTGAAGAAAACTGGAGGAAAACCGAAATTTATTTGGGTTTTATTTTGGTTTCAAATTTAAGCCCAGAATTTATTCTCGTGGATTTTTTTTTCAATCCGTTTAGGGGATTTTTGTGGAGAGGATTATCAGTTTTTTGGTTTTTTTTTTTTTGGATGATATGTTGTTTGTTAGTGAGAGGACGCGAGCGGGAAAGGGAAACGGAGAGACAGTGTGCAGCTGCTGCACGATTCCGCATCCACGGCTTCGCCAAGAGTCTCCTCAGTACAGAATCCTCAAACTGGTGGGACGGTCTGTATCTTTGAGAGATCAGGGAGATGTGTCCATTACCTTCCCACCATAGACGCTTTTCTAATCATTATTGTTTTTTTTTTTAAGGATTTTTGTTGTCTTGGGATCGATTTCACTCGTCTGGCTTGTTAATTTTTTTTACACTCCCCATGCTGCATCGAACATTAATTTTTTATTGTATTGTTGGAATTTGTATTAATATTTTGGGGTAATATGTCATCTGGCGATTAATCGATTTTCCTCGGGGAGAGGAAATTGTCGGATTAATTGCAGACAACGAAACCAATGGATTTTTCAAACTTTTTAAATATACTTTTAAAAATAATGAAAATTTCCCATAGATTTTGTATTTTAAAATTCCACACCTCACGCCTGATATCACATTTAGACATTTGTACCTCACGCTTTCAATAATTAAAAACAAAATATTAAAATTATCTGAGACTAACAAAATAATATTTTCAATAGATGGAAGTACATCAGAAGAGGTGGAGCAGAGACAGACTCGGAGGGCGACAAAAAGAGCAGCTGCAGTTCAAGATAAGACACTTCACGATCTCCTGAACGATGTTATGCACCACAGGGACTCATGGCCCTTTTTATCGCCGGTTAGGACTGACGAAGTACCTGATTATTACGAGTTTATAAAAAGACCTATGGACTTTGGTACGATCAAGGGAAAACTCGAGGCTGGAATATACGAAAACGATTCACACCTGTTCTTCACGGACTGTCTACTAATATTCGACAACTGTCACACCTACAATGCAGACCACAGCGCTGTTTACAAGTAAGTGTTAATATTTAATAAAGGTAGGGGAGGGACCACAGGTTCGGATGCCAGAGATTTGAATAATTTTCTCTTGGGATCGCCTCTGTATCTCCAGATCATTTGAGAGATTTGCATGAACGATGAAATCGATGATGGGCCGCATGAATTTGGAGAGATTTTGTTATCCACTCAATTATATAAATAATTATATAAATAATACATGAAATTACACTAAATTCACTGTTATAACAACAATTATAACGTAAAAAATTATAAAATATGGCAAATAATGAAGATAATCATTCTGCCTGTGGGAGAACAACTCAATCTCTCCAATAAACAAAAAAAGAAATTAATCTTTGGCCTCCGAACGATTGAATTCGTTCGCCACAAGTAACAGTGGTGCATCCCCTGAATTGACAGTTACGTTTACAGAGCTGGAATGAGACTCTCCAAGTACTTCGAGAAAAAATCCAAGGAGATGGGATTTAACTACGACGAGGAGACCCGAGCACCACCTACCAAGAGATTCAAGGATGATTCGGGGCCCCATAAGTCCCATCGCAATGGTAATACTGAGATCGACGAGAGTTGAGACACCAGTGGAAGATCAAAGACAACAGCATGTGACTGGCATTATATTTTTCACACAAACAGCGAGATGAGAATTCAAGAGTAGATCCCAGACACCTGTACTTTATTTTAGTATAAAAAAGCATAAGCAAAATACTGGTGTGTGTTTTTCACATTCCTGACGTTTTTTTTGAATACTCACGAGTGTCTAATGGCGTCTGCGTCCAGTATTAATTATTATACTGATGATTTTAAAAATGTCAAATTCGGTTATTTGTCGAGGGGAAATTAATGGAGCCAGTACAACATCATAGTGTTCTGCAAGTAGTTAGTAGTTTAGCAAATTTATTTTTTTCTTCATTTCATTAGTTAGGAGAACATATTCTTATTATTAGTAATTTTTTTTTCTATTTATTCCGTCGATATTTCATTTTCATGAATTTTAGAGTCAGGGGAGATTCCATTCAAGTTGGAGATTTATTATTAATCCTGAGTACTTAGGGGATTATGAAGAGTTGAGGATTATTATGCATGATATGTTATTATTGATTAATGGGGAGTTGAATTTGGTGGTCGTTCTGATGAAATTTTTTCCCTCGGAATAGGCATTATTTGAGGCTGGACCTATGACACTAGGGTACAAAAAAAAAATGAGAAAGACAACTGATTAACTCTTTGTAATATCGTATGTTTTCTACAATTAAATCGATAATAAATGATATAGTATTTAAATATCTTGATAATTTCAATTATTTATTAACACTGATTTACAATGTGTGGCTCACGATTCGGTGGATCGGAGGTAATAATTTCTACAGATTTTTGGAAATTTTTGGGGACTCATCTCGAGATTTTAGTGGTCACCGCCGTAGAACTCCTTCCTTCGAATTTCACGCCATTTCTCCACGTTTTCAGGGTTGTTCACTGAAAAGATTATTTAGAATTAATTATGAGGGAAATTCTGTGATGGATTTTATGATTTCGTGATTAAACGCTCAAAATTCATTGGGAAATTAATAAAAAGTGAATGCGAATTCAATTATTCCTTGGGAATTCATAAAAATCCAGGGAATTCAGGAAAATATTCTCACATTAAATTAATTTTATTCTCGGAAATTTTCCAATTAATTTTCTCGTAATTTTGTAATTAAAGGCTCAAAATTCATTTGGAAATTAATAAAAAATGAATGCGAATTCAATGATTCCTTGGGAATTCATAAAAATCCACAGAATTCAGGAAAATATTCCCCCATTAAATTAATTTTACTCTTGGAAATTTCCCAATTAATTTTCTCGTAATCTTCTAATTAACGGCTCAATATTCATTGAAAGAATTGATAAGAACAAAATGAGAATTCAATTATTCCTTGGGAATTAATAATGCCTCCAGAAATTAAATCGAGTAAATAATTATTAAATATATATATAAATAAAAAAAATTTCTTTTCTCTCGTATACCCTTTCGGGTCTTTACGGTTAGTTGGTTCCCTTCCCACCCCCCCAACCCCCTGTACCGCATTTGCTTGAAGGGAGGGAAAAACCTCATCTGAGGGAAAAAACCTGCCCAGGTACAGTCGTCCTTTTGACAGGACTACCGCTCGGCAGTGGAACCGTGAGATCAGAGCGCTATAAATTTTTGACCGCCGGTGCCCGGGATCGAACCCGGATCTCTGGCATGCTAGTCTAGCACTCTAACCGCACGGCCACTACCGTCGGTTATATATATAAATATATAATTAATAAATAAATCCCTAAGAATCCAGAAAATTCAGATAAATCCTTCAAATCCCGGGCAATTACGTCTTAAATATTCATATTCTCATAAAAAAAACGATCCAATGAAAAAACTCTATCGATTTTTCTATAGACTTCAAAAATTCACCATGATCGATCAATTTATCGCCAAATGACATTGTCCATTAATTTAGGAGCCTAAACGATGGGGATTTCTCCCAGAAGGACTTACCAGCCTTGGTGATCTTCCACATGACTGGCAGAGTGAGGAGGATGCCATAACACCAGTACCTGGTGAACCACGCGTGCTTCCAGTGATGTTTATAAGGGAAGAAGTACATTTTCGCTGTTAAGGTGTAGGGGAACTTCATGTAGCGCTCCTTGGGAATCGGAGAGTCAGCCATGCTGGCTAAATTATAAAAATTCACAGATTACTCATCAACGTCATCCCCAGGGCACCTCCAAAATTTTCCACTGAACAACTCCCATTAAATTCAAATTGCAATCATGAAAATTCAACAGTTTCATTTTTGAATTATTTTCAAAAACCATTAAACATTTCCAAGGACAACAAAAATTTTCTCCATCTCCAGGAACATGAGTCCTACACCCACGTCTCCGGAATCCTCGAATAGTTAATTAAATTATTAATAACTCGATGTTAATTAATTATAAATGAATTTTTGGTTTAAAATTATTTTTAAAAAACCCTTCATCATCTTCGAGGACGACGAAAATTTTCTGGATCTCCAAAAATCTCGAGGAGTTCCTCCCACCACAATCCGGCTTCTTGATGAATTAACGTGATTGTTAATAACTCGATAATTAATTATTAACAATAAATAATAACTTTGTTAGCTGGAGTACCTGTGGATCGATCCGAATGTCACAAAACCTTTTCTTTTCTCGAGGATTTTCAATCTTCTGACTTGGTTATATAAAGATGTTCCTATCGATTGGAACGACCTTTCGATATATCGAGTGGCGCTAGTTACTTCCGGTTAGGGAACCTGTCGCCATCTGGAGACGCCTCATTTTTGTATTTGAATCAGAGGCCGCTGGCCAACGTTTCTTCCTGCGTGTGTATTTTGTTTTTCCGAGTGTTTTCCTTGGAAAACATCAGCAGATTGGCAACATTCCACTGAATTTCATCCCCAAAACGCATCAACTACGGGACCAGCATGTCCCCGAGAAAAACAAGAAGAGGTGAGGCCCTTTTTTTGTCAACTAATCGACAAATTTTTATGGCGATTGCGACTCTTTCTGGTGCTTACGTTACAGTTTGGGCGGGATATGTGGAAACATGGCGACTATTTTTGGCGGAAAAGATAAGTTCCAGGGTTTTAGGTTTTTCCTGCATTTTTTTTTTCTCCTCTCCCCGTTTTTGGACTGTTTTCATCTTTCAAGGGGAATTTCAGGAACGAGGCGTCAGCATTTCGAAATTTTTCCCTCGAGATTATCAGGGAACTCGAATATTCGGTTTTGGGGACTGTGGGGAGGACTTGGGGCTTCTGTTCCTGACAAATGTCTGAAGCATATTCATTATTTATTTAATAATTTCATATTATCATTTTATTTAATAATTTCTTTCTGCGAATCACAAATGCGACATTTTATTAATAATAAAAGTGGATATTCAGAGAATATTTTCCATTTTTTTTTTCAATTTTTATTTCTGA